TCCATAGTGACACTGGGGCAGAGGAGCATGCTTAGAAGACACAGGAGAGTTATCAGGGTAGAAAGTGGGTGGCTGTTTCTGTACAGTTTGGGGTCTGGCAGCCTGCCTTGTCCTAGAAGGACAAGGAACTGGTCTCAGAAAATAACCAATAAACCAGAAATATCCGCTCAGAACAAGCAGTCTGCATTAATATAGCAGGTGCTGTCTGGACAAGTGATGGCTCACTGCAATGTATGACAAAAACAAGTTGATAAAACTATTTTTCATCCTTCTCCTCTGCACTACTGGACTGTGTTCTCCCACCAGGGCTGGGCAGATGTCCTGGGGACCAGCACTCACCTGAAGAGGTTCTCAGCCCCCGCTCGCATCCTCATCTCCTTGTTGATCTGCTGGTTGATGCGCGCACGGCGGTGCTGCAGTTTGCTGCGCTGGGTCTGCGCGAAGGGATCGCAGCCCTGCTGAGAAAGTAACACAGTGTCACTTAGGGCACAACGGTGGCTTTCCCCCTCCCGCGGGCCCACATCGCCCCCGAGCAGCACATGCATGCAGACACAGAGGCTTTGGGCTTCTTTTTGTGCAGATGGATCATCCTTCTTGCTATCTCCCATGATAGGCAAGGCAATTCCAATATGGGAGAAAAAAAATCAGGGGTGTCCAGGGCTGCAGGCTTGTGATACAACCCTCCCACAGGTATTTCCAAGCTGTGGTTGGAGCAGCAGCAAGCTTGAACTGCAGCATCATGGAGCCAGCTTGGGCACAAGGAAGCAACAGGTATTGTTGAAGCCTGGGGACAGATCACTGCACAGTGGCCAGACACTGTCCCCGCAGACATTTAGATGCACCCTGCCCCAAAACATACAGGCAAGACATTTGCTGCAGAGGCATCTCCTCTCCATCCTTATTTCCTCTGAAGATTTGCCACCTTGTAGCACTAAGACTAACCCAGCTTAGACACAACACTCAAGGGTGATGGTAATGCCATATTTCAGATGCCCTACTGCTTCATGCATTTGTATGGCCCTGGAGAGATACATGCTGAAGGCATTGAAAGTCCAGCATCCCAGGATGCAGCACAGGTTTAGGGGAAGTTTTCCCACCTACTATCACCTGTTGCTTCCAACAATCTCTTAGCTACTCCATAAGAGCTTCCCAAATACAACAGCAAAGCTAGACATCTCTTTTCCAAGGTCTGACCATCTGGACACAACACAAGAGTTCAGACAGACATCCTGAGGACAGATGAGCTCAGCAAACCCCAGAACTGGGAAATAAATGCGACTCTGGAAATAAATGCGATCCCACCACTTAGAAGGGCTTGCAACTCTTGACAACTACAGAAAAATAGAGCCCAGGCAGAAAGTCAAGAGTTCACGCAATGGAGAAGCAAGTCACACACAACAGTAAATTAATTCCATCCCTGCCTCATTTGCTACGGCTCAGACTTGCTGCAGACAGGGAAGTACAATTAATCTCCAACTCCAGGAAATAACAGATGGCAATATCCTTCTGTCTTGCGAGGGCAAAAGGTTACTGCGGAATGCTCCAAGCAGAAATGCTGCTGAGAAAAAGGGGTCTCTGAAATCAGGGCCACAAAAGCTCTACCCAAGCAGAGACGATTCCTATTGTGCGAGGAGCAGTTCAGACAGCTGAAAGAGGCCTCTAAGAGCTCCCTGGATTAAAAAAAAAAAAAAAATGCCGTTTGGAAGGGTACAACCCTGGGTAGTTCAGGAAGATGGAGACCTCAGAGCTTTTATCACACCCAGGTGAACTGCATGCCTTTGACACTGACCGTGTTGCCAAAACACAGGGATGCAAAACAGCCATCATGAAGCATGAGGAACACGGCAGCCCCGATCTGACCTGTTTGCTCTAATCCTCAATTTGCTACTCACTGAGGGTTTATTCCTTTACCCCCATCACTGCTGGGGAAACCTTCACCTTCAAAACAAGGGATTTTGCCACCCAAGAGACCTTGCAGAGCCAGAGAGTGCTGAGAAACTGCTTTTTCCAGTGGTCCATGTCATGCTCAAAAAAAACAGTTTCTCAGCTAACTTCATAGAGGAAGCCTTGAGGGGTTTTCCCCAGGTCCCTCTTCTCTACCATGCTCCAGAGAAATTCTGCTTGGAAAATCCAGCAGGATGGTTGGCAACGGACAAACCCAATGGCTTGGGCAGCACTTGGTCACATCTCTAGGAAAACTGAAGGTCTCACATCTTCCCAGTGAGATTCTGGGAAGAACAAATCATTTGTTAGAAAGGGTTCAAGTTTTTTCTTGAATGCTAGATAGGTAGGAGAGGAAAAAAATCTTTTGAGTGAAGAAAAGTAGAAATAAGACACCAGCTTTGATTTGTAGTGAATGGAAAATGTTATGTTTTAAGCACGCTTCAGACAGTGTCTGCAAGAAACATTTCTCTTTAATATATTTACAGTCAAACAAAAAATGTCCAGTTCAAAAGAGTTTCTGGGATAACAGACATTTCCATTTAAATGAAGCAATTATGAGATCAAATCTGATATTAGAGACTGAGGAATCAAAGTCACCCCATCCAGTCTGTGAGTCTACAGGCTTAGTATTTCTCAGTAATCCATGAATTTGCTGCCATTACTAGAGGCTGAAGGAGCAAGCTGGAAGCACAATTATTCTAGAGGAGCAATTACAAGGGACATTAAGGATAATACCAACTGCTGCACAAATTCCAATGTCAGGATAGTCAGAGGAACAAATGCCCTCATCTGAAAGGTCCAGTTTCTAGACACACTGTGGGGCAACCCACCCTTTCCCCTCACACATCCTTTTGCCTGGGAGAAGCTCAAAAGTGTCAAAAGAAAGTGGAAAAGGATGAGGAATCCCACAGCATGCAGGCAGGTGATGGGTTGTGTCAGGTTTTCTCAAGGGAGAACAAGAGGGGCCATAGCCAAACAAAGCACTTCCAAGCAACAGGCTGGCACAACTCATATCCAAACATGGTTTTGTCCATTAAAGTACTGCTTCTAATCACCTGCAATCAAAGCAAACAGAGGTGCAAACAGAGGTGCAAGTCTACAAAGTGCCAGGAGCAAGATAAGAGGGTAGGAAGGCTGTTTATACAGGCAGCAAAAGGGGCTGAGCTCCAAGCTAGCCTGGTCACACCGAGAAGGACAGAGCTGTGGCTGGAAAGGAGTTCTTCATCCCCACATAGTCCAAGGCATCCAAGGAGCTTCATTTAGGGTTTAGCACAACAGGTTTTTCAACCTGTTAGGGGAAACTGGGCACTGACCATCTCACAGCAATGCTGGAAGGTCAAATCTCCAAAAGTAGAGACCTTGTGCTGAGCTTGGAGAGGACAGGGAGAAAAACCCTGTTCCTGGTCAAGCTAAATTTCAGATTTGCATCCTCAGAAAGGAGAAAAATAAGCGTTATCTCGAGTAAAAGAAGCAAAAGGGCTGGTTCCCTGAATCTGTCTACTCCACACTAAAATAGCTCCACCTCCCTGCTGGCAATCCCAGCCATGACCTCCCCACACTAGGAGCACACAGAAATGCCGTGGTCATCCCAAAGCCTGAGGTGAGGCACTGGAGCAGATGTCTGTGTGGGAGGGAGGCTGAGAGCATCCTTCCTTCCCAGCCTCTGGTTTATTCTTCTTACAGGAGCTTCCAGCATCTTTGAGACCTCTCTAGCTCTTTTAAAGGCTTGGTCGAAATCAAGAGTGTTTTAAGATTTACTGGAGAAGAGAAGCAAGTACATGAGTGCACAAGCAGGAGACCCAAAGAGCCTCCAAGGATAAATGATAGAAGCAAGAGAGGCATATGTAGAAGGACAAGCCAAAACTACACAGGAGAGTCAAGCATTAGGCTACAGACAAGATATTCTTTTCTGGAGGCAAGACAAGGGTACAGAAGGACAACTACAGCAGAAATGGGAGGTGTAAAAAGCCATTAGGACAACTCTGCAAGGCATTCAAAGAGAGCATTCAAAGCTCTTCACTAAAAACAATTATAGAGTGTAATTAATCAACCTGGCAGCTCCTCATTTTTCCTAGGCCCAGCTTGAGACAACACCAAGGAGGCAAAACTCAAGTCACCACAAGGTCTGGAAGCCAAAGTTGATCAGAGAGCATTGCTCAAGTATTCAAACTCAGGAGCACTGATATTAATTAATCATTTTGGCTTTCCCTGCATGATTAGAAGGGATGCCTTCCAGGAACACTTGGAAGCCCTAGTGCCGCTGGGGAAAAGGTGCAGCAGGATGATGCAGTGTTCAGATTTGTCCTGGCTTTTCTCTGAAAAACAGGAACTAAATCATTTCTACAGCTATATTTTTCCCTCCCGAGCTGAAAGCTGCATGTCTTTTCAATCAAATTTGATGAGATGGCTACTCCCATTCAGAGAGAAAAAAAAAAAAGGTACTGGAAAGTCAGGTATTAGAGCACTTGATGTAACACCAAAGCCTTGGGAAGATGTCAAGTCGGGATCTTGAGACTTGCTGCCCTAGGGACTTCACTTGATCTCCCCACACTTTCTTTACTCCTTATGCAGCCAGGTAACTGCAGTCACCCACAAAAATTGCAGCAATTTCTCTGCAAGAGGCTTTGCTGTCTCACCTGAAGCACCATTACTAGCTGCATGTGCCGACATAAGCGTGCCACCAAGGCCACCACAGCAAGCAACCACGTCTAGTCGCCAGCTTCCCGTGGAGACTTTCAGAAATTATTATTTTTATCTTACAACTCTTGAAGCAAAAGGGAAATTCAGCACCAGAATGAGAAGCTCAGCCCAGGCCAGCTCACAGAGGAGAGAAAGGAAACACCACCACAAGCAGACACCACCTCTAATCAAAAGGTGAGTGCTAGGGGAGATCAGAGAGGAAAGCACGTGCAGCCCCTTGGAGCTCACGTTCAAACACACAAAACCCATTTTGAGTTGCAACCACAAGCTAAAAGCCACAGCAGTTTCTAATGTAGCAACAGATTTAAGTATGCTTTATATAAGAGGGCATAAAACACCACAATAAAAAAAGCTCTTGCAAGCTTTAAAAGGGATTTTCCTTGCTTTAATTCTTCTCTGCGCAAACTCTCCAAATAAATCCTTTAGGGTCAGAAGAATGGCGGGGGGGGAAAGCAGGCTATTTGTTGTTTTCAAATAGTTTTGGGGGCTTTCAGGCATGGTCAGGGACACTGGTACAAGAATAAAGTTGAGTGCCTGTGAAGTCAGGTGGAACGTGACATTTTAGAACTCCAGTCTAAAAGGCTTTAGAATAGGTGAGCACAAAACTTACCCATCAACAGGAGGCCATAAACTGTGTAGGGCCTATAAACCAGAACAGTGCAGACTGCATGCACACCAAGTAACATGTATGTTAAGAAAGGATGAAAACAAATGAGATGTGGGCCATGAAGCTACATGACTTGGGTCCAGCTCTGAAGCTCATTGCCTTGGTCAGAGGAGGATTCAAGCCAGTATTACCATAGCAAGGCCACTC